TAAGTTAAGAATTTTACTTCTTAAACTTCCTGGGTGTTAAAATGCAATCTTATCTTTAAGGTGGAATCTTTCCTGCCTTTTATTATGTTGTTTACAGCCAGCTGGGTCTGCATGCTAAATTAGTTGCCCACTTTGCAAAGTCACTTTATCAGATCTGAAGGAGGAAAGACAGCACACAGGCCTGTGCCTTTAGCATGTTAAAGTGAATCTTACACATGATTACAAATGATTAGCATAATAAAAACATGTGCTACTCTTCTTTATCTGGGGGATATTAACTGATCTCACTGAAGAATGACTCTAGAGCTTAATGTTTAACACAGAGTTTTTGGTAGGGAGTTTCCCTGCATGTAGTTACATTGCTCTGACTGCAAACAGCCTTTTTCTCGAGGCCTTCATCGTATTTTGTCTAAGCTCATGGTCCCTGTCTCACTTCCTACAGCTTGCTCTCACGGGACTGGCTGTTCATTGGTGGGAAGTTCCTGGTGGGACTAGAAGTAAAGGGTTGTCTCTGGGATGCTGCTGAGGTTTTCTATCCAGGATTATGGGCTCTGGTTTTTGTGTTTTTGTTTTGTTTTTTTGCCATTTCTACTGCTCAAAACAGCAATTCCTTTAAGACTTTATTTATTATTAGCACTGTTTAGTTCCTAATGGAGAAAAATGCTATTGGTGCCCCATCTGTGATTCCACGCATCCCCACCCAACTTTTTTAAGAAATGGCTTTATTGAGATGTAATAAAAAAATACTGCACCTATTCAATGTATACAATTTGACGGATTTGAACATATGCATATACTTGTGAATCTGTCACCACAACCAAGATAATAACACTTCCATCACCTCCAGAAATTTCCTCCTATAGGGGCTCTAGCTTAGGAGGAGGGCTCCTATGCCAATAGTAACAACAACAATAAGGACAGTAATAGTAATATTTGTTGTGCGCTTGCCTGGGAGGGACAAGGGTGCTAAGTGCTCATCAGGTTACCCCATGTAGTCCTTCGCAAAGACACTGTAATATACTATTATTAGCCTTGATGTCCTGATATAAAAGCTGAGGCTTAGGTAGGGTAAGACACCTTCCTAGAGTCACACAGCTACAATATAACAAAGGGAGGAGGGCCTGAATCCAGGTTATTTTCCCTGTAATAACTATTCTACATTAAAGTGCCCTGTTCTTCTGACCTTGCCTTTGATACTCAGCTATGAACACACCAGCTGTGATGAATCCTCCTACATAAGTGCTTGAAATTTTAAGAGAGAAGAGAGTATAATTTCTCTTAGACATTAAAAAAAATCCATCACCTTAAAATTCAGAGAAGAAAAGGTAGGAAATTCAGCAAAAAGAGAGGAGGGAGGGGAGAGGGTGGGAGGGAGGGGGAAAGGAGGAAGGAGGGGGGAGGGAGGGGGAAGGAGGAAGGAGGGGGGAGGGAGGGAGGGGGAAGGGGAGGGAGGGAAGTTAGGAAAGAAAGAAAGGTCAATACTATACCCCCAATATTTTAAGACTTTCTTTCTTTTCTATTTATGTAAGGTATACTGTTTGAAGGATAGAGATTCAAGCAAAATTATAAAATTTTGGAAGAGTCAAGATAGAACTTAAACAATCTTAAACTACTTAGTAAGTCATTGATATGTGGCCCTTGAGCAACTGTCATTAGCAGCATGGTGAAGGGTAGGTAGAGACAGGAACCAGCAGGACTGGCTATTTATTTTTGTTGCGTGTTTTGCTCAATATCTCTTTTCTGACAAACTTTCACATACTGGTATAGACCTTAATAGAGAGATAATTTAACATCTGATTATCTTCTGTTACTTGTGTTATGAAATTTCTTCTCTAAGACAGAATATTCCATTGCTTAAATTTTCTGCAAATATAAATTGCACCCCCCAAAAATGTTTGAGAGGTCTTTGTTTCCACCACTGTGATAGAAAATAATGCAAGATTCTAAGAAAGCATACAACTTTGTTATCGATCAAAAGATATAATTCAGGATGTAAAACAAAGAAATGTAAAATAAACAATGGAAGGTGTTAATAGGTATCAGAATTGCAAAAAGAGGTTGTGCTAATGTCTCTTCTAGACATTCATTCCTCAGGACTTTTTCTTTGATGGCCCTACCGTGCCTGTTGTTCAAACTGTGGGTCTCAACCACTTAGTAGGTTGTAAAATTAATTGAGTGGATTATGTCTACCATTTAAAAAGTATAATAGAACATATCAAAGTGCACTGCATGTAGGAAAGTTGTGCATTATTCCACGAACACTTTTTTTTTTAGTTACAAACACACACATGTACACACAAAGTGTATGTGATGGGTTTCACTGTAAAATGTATTTTTTTTAATGATTCCATCAAATTTCAAAGATGCTCCATTAGCCAAAGTAATCTACAACCTAGATCTTTATTACTACCATTTATTAAATGCCCCACATTTCTCAGGCCCATTAATAATAATGCTTTAAAATTTATTTAGGAGACTACAATGACAGTAGTCCTAGTACGAGTCAGCTGGAAGACTCTTCATAATAGAAACATCTAACGTGTACTGAACACTGTTAACGTGTTTGGGAGTTGTGCTAAATATTTTTCATACATTGTCTAATGTACTTCTCATAACAACCTTATGAGAAGGCTTCTGTTACTCTTCCTATTTTTCAGATGATAAAGCTAAGGTTTCAAGAAGTAAGAGTAACTTGCCCCAGGTCACTGAACTAGTAAAACTGAAGCCCGTGCCTGTCTGGTCCAACACAAGCATTTTACCACCATCCCTACAACATTTTTCAGGAACGAATCCCTCATGGAAAACTTTGTGATTTGCTGTTTAATTCTTTTGAAATGTTCCTCAGCTGTAGGATAATTCAACCGCCCCCTTGATCCTTGATAAGGGATGTATCTATGGTTGTGGGTGTGTAAGGTGGGGCAATACGAAGGAAGTTGATTCCTGATCCGATTCTGAAGAACCTATTCCTTCCTCCTCCTCTAGACTCTGTCTTAACTGGCCCGAAGTCATAGATTCCAAGGTATACCCGCCTTCTCCACTCAATACTGGGAATTCTTCTCATTCCTCCCACCAAGAATGAATTTCCTCCCCACCAGAAAACACCACTACCACCACCACACTAGGAATCCTAAATCTGGGAGTCCCTGGGACTAGAGAGAATTTCTCTAGGTCAGAGATCAGCAGAGTTTTCCCACAAAGGACCAGGTAGTAAATATTTCAGGCTTTGTGAACCATATGGTGTCTGTCACAACTTTTCCATTTAACCATTGCAGGGTGAGAACAGTGTGGATACCCTGAACAGATCAGTGTGGCTGGATTCAGCCTATGGGCTGTGGTTTGCCAACCCTTGTTCAAGAGCCTAAAATGATTCTCTCTCATGGACAGTTTTGCTCTTTTTTTTAGTTTTACATTGACCTGAAATACTTTTCGCTGTGTGTCCTCATCCTCCCATATTCAAACAGCCTCCTACCAGCAATTACACAACAAGACCTCGGAAGCTGCAGGGTATGAAGTGTACCTGGGATTTGTTTACAAGATCCTAGTGTCTTTGTAGGTTCACCCATCACTGGGTCATGGTTTTAGGTGTGTAAGCGCAGGAGGGTCTGTCAGTTCAACTCCAAAAGAAGGACCCCCGTGGGGCTCTGTGTCCTTCAGGAGTTGAGAAGATTCTTCAGCAAATGAGCCCAACATCTTCCTCAAATATTTGGCAGTAAAAATGACCCCACACACCTATGTCACTGGTAAGGTCTATGTTAAATAAGGCCTGGGCTCTCGGAATAGGACATTTCTCTGGACTAGGAAAAAGTTCTCAATCAGAGGGCTGCTGTTTGCATTTTCACTCTGTGACACCATTCCTGTACCTGTCAGTAGTGTTGATCTTGAAAGTAAGGGTACAAAATTGTAGGTAATATGACCTAGTGGTTTTCTAAAATTATGTGTATTTTTATTTGTTCTAGGATTCATCTCTTTCCTCTTTCCTTCCCTCCCTCCTTCTGTTTCTTTCCTTCCTTCTTTCTCTTTTTTTATACAAATAATCTCCTAGTAGTTTGTAAAACAGTGTTTCCTAGGAAGCAAAGGGTCCTTTTCCCACCTCATCAAAGGATAGGTGTGGAAATGTCAGCTAATGTTGAGCAGGGTGAGAAGAGGCTGAGGGGCAGAGACACACGGGGATCGGGATGGTACTGGTGAGAGCTGTGCGTGAGCAAGGTGAGACCCCGCCTCCATCTCCTCTTTGGAATTTTCTAGAACATCTTCAGTCTGATGCATTATGGGATTGAATGTTTATTCTTTGGATACATAAAGAAACAAGTTAGCACAGTGTGAAGACAGCACTCCTCACCACAAGGCAGTCACTATGTGCCTTATTCTCTCTCTCACACACACATACGCAGTTACTCATGTATACATTGTACATATTTGTGGGAACATTCTCCTTACATATATATGATAACACCAAAATCTTAACAGTTATTGATTCTTCGTGGTGGGATTACCAATCGTTTTTATTTTTAATGCTTTTGTTTTTGTTGGTATTTTCTCGGCCTTGTATAAGGAACATATATGAATTTTATCTCACCTGCATAATAAAACAAACAGCCCTTTATCAGTTAGTTATCTTAGTATTTATATGGGGAGAGAAGAAAGGGAAAAAAAGGCTTTGAGGACACTGAAGATTTGAGAAGAGCTAACGGGGGAGCTAGAAGGGGAAACTAAGGGTCCCAAACCTCCCCACATTATTTTTACTGAGGACTGGTAGGCTAAGAATGTTAGAAAAGCATAAATATAGCATTGCATTTCCTTCCCAAAATCCCTCCAGGGAAAAGGCGCGCAGTGGGAGTTGATGTGTCTGGCTGACGAGGCGCTTTCCCACGTTCTGTGTTCAAAAAGAGAAAAGGTTGCTTTAAATATTAGATAATAGGGAAATGGATATTTAAAATGAGCTCCTTCTGCATGTTTGATTTACCTTATTTTAAAATACTGTTATCATACTTTCATTTCAGACAGTCTGCTTCTCTAAATCCATCCGGTTCAGTGAACACTTTGTAAATGCCTACACGGGGCTCGCCGCTATTCAGGAGGATAACAGATCCGAGAGTGAGGCAGCAATCCTACCCTTCAGAGGCACTGTCCAGTACAGTGCATCATCCCAACTGTGGGACAGTCACCCTGGAAAAACACAAATGCCAGAGTCTCACACAGACCACCTGCTCAGAATCTCAGGGGTAAGGTCTGAACATCAGTATTTTTTAAAATCATCCAAAGTGACTCTAATACGCAATGAAGATTGAGAACAACAGTCTAAAAGCAAAGAGAGGCCAGGCAGGTCATTGCAGCTCCACCTGCTGAGTCTGTGAAAAGAACGTGTGTGTTCTGCTGGTCATGGCAGAGGCGGGGGGGTACGGGGAACAATTTTGCCTTGAGAGGGGATGTCCTGTGAAGGAGTCACAAGAAAAGGGACACTTTAGCCAAATCTTAAAAGGCAAGTTGGAGTTTACTAAATCAGACAAAGGAGATGGGACAGGGGGCATTCCATGCAAAGCAACGAGCCAAAGCCGAGGCTGGCGGTAGGAAATGTTGGGCATATGCCCTGGGACTGCATAGGGAGGGGCAGCGGTGTATTCATTTGCTAGGGATGCAGTAACAAAATACCATGCACTGCATGGCTTAAACAGCAGAAATCTATTCTCACGTGCCAGGAGCATGCCGAGTGGGTTAAGGCAGCAGGCGAGGCAAGAAGGAGCCCAGGGGTGTGTTCTAGCCCTCCAGCCCGATGATGTGGGCAAGGAAAGAAAGACTTTCCCAAGGGGAGACTTAGTAAGACCAACCGATGGACCAGGAGGGAGTGGGAAAGGGCGGGGCTGGATCAAAAAGTAATTGAGAAGTGTAAGTGTGAGAAGAGAAGTGGGTCTTTTGTTTGTTTTTTCACGGAAAGGGAGAAGTCCATCTTCCACGAGGAACAATGAGCTCAGTTTCAGGTTTGGTGAGAATGAAATGATAGAAGGCATCCAAACAGAGACGTCAGCAGACCACTAGAGATACTGACCTGTAGCCTGGGACAAGAGTCAGGGCTGGAGATCTAGAGAGGAAGCCAGTCACCATGGGGACAGTTTGTGATCTTCATGGTGCAGAGGCAACCCCAACAATGACAAATTGGGGCCAGAGGGGGGCTCCTCCATCTCACTGTCCTTGCACTCAGGGTGTCTCCTGCCCGCTCAGTGTATAGGGGCTGGTCTGGACAGGGCCAGTTAGGATGGCTGTGGCCACGCAAGGCACAGAGTCCTTTGATATCCCCCGAAGTCACAGTTCACAGTGAGAAAGGGTTGGCAACCAGTGTGCCAGGGCTGGAAGGTGTGCTGTGGGACGATTAGAAGTCTGGGCTGCCATCAAAATCATGGCCATTTAGTTTCCTCTAAAATATATTTCAATATCCTCTTTGAGACAGGGACCATGGATGTAGTCAGAGTAGGGTGAGGGCCTCCGGAGGGGGCAGGGCGGGATATTTGCAGTCAGAGCAATGTAACTACATGCAAGGAAACCCCCTCTGCTAAAACTCTATGTTAAACATTGAGCTCTAGAATCATTTTTCAGTGAAATTAGTTAATGTTCCCCAAGTAAAGAAGAGTAGCACATTTTTTATTATGCTAACCATTTAAAATCATGTGTAAGGTTCACTTTAGCATACTAAAAGGCCCAGCCTATGTGCTGTCTTTCCTCCTTCAGATCTGATGAAGTGATTTTGCAAGCTGGGCAACTAATTTAGCAAGTAAGCCCAGGCATAAACAACACAGTAAAAGGCAGGAAGGATTCCACCTTAAAGATAAGATTGCATTTTAATACCCAAGAAGTTAAGACGTTAGAAATTCTTCACTTACAGTTCAGCGAACAATGCCTCAGCCCACCTTGGGGGCTGAGCAGGTGGCCTTGTTTCATATGCCCCCAGACCAAGATGCTGGTCTTTCAGGGAGAAATCATCAGAGGAAGTTGCTTGTGTTAAGTTAATTCTAAATATTCAGGGACCACCTAACAAGTCCACACCCCTAAGTTTTTTCATGTTCTTGAAAAATCCTCAGTTGCCTATAAAACCCCCTAGACAGCACACCACTATGGACTCTCTTGTCCCCTCCTGGCATGAGCCAGGAGCTCTATTCTCTCACTTTATCTCTAAATAAAAGCCTGTACCTTGCTCTCTTACCTTGATTGTTTGTGAAGCTCATTCTTTGGCTTTGTGAACAAGAACCCCAGCATCATCTTCACCTCCAAGGGAAGGCAACATGGGCTCTGAAGGTATGGGGGCCCCTGCTGGGTACAGAATGACCCCGAAGCTTCCTTGGGAGGGCCCTATAAAAGTTGACTCTCCACTGCTTCTCTCCTTTCCACAAGTGGATCTAGCCTAAAAGCCTGTGCTCCATAATTTGAGCCATTAGGCCAGGAAATCTCCTTGAATGACTATTAGAAAGATTACTGGGTTAGCCCTTAGGAGATCCACGTTCTTATCCTGACTCAGTTTCTGAGACATTCAACAAGTCACTGAACAGCTACTGAGAAGAAACAGCCCCTGCGTCTATTTCTTCATCTGTAGAATGAGAGAGGTGGACTATATGATCTCGAAAGCTCCTTAAAGCTTCAAAATTCCATGATTTTCATGTCCTAACTGGAGCTCGAACCAAGGATATTAAAACCTGTTGTACCTGAAACTGGCAATATGTTTGCAACAATGGAGGGCGAGTTGGCTCTTTCTATGCTTTTCTACCTCCTTTGGCCCAAAGCTGGTTTTCTTCCCTGCTGTCCTCTGTCACCCAATGTTTACTATAATCAACAAAAATTGTTACAGGCAAGCAGTTTTGGCTAGATTGACTTCTCAGCAATTAAACCAAACAGTTGCTCTAAGGATATATTTGCCCTATTTCATCCACTGTGGCACCACAGACAAGCTTCTCCCATGGCAATGGGCCCCAGTGCCAATTCGTGCAGGTAACACACACTCTTTTTTCTTGGCAATGGGGTTTTTCTGTTGTGGCATGAAAGGAAGGCATTGTCAGATTTATTATTATTTTTGAATGAAAATGTTTTGAATCACTTGTTCGATGAACCCTCCTCTAGACCTGGGTGGAGTGATGACTAAGTTAAGAGAGGGCTTTACAGGGCAAGTTATGGCAAAGCAAAGCATTTATTTTTTGAACAGAAAATACCTTGCTTGACCAATTCTAGGGGGGCCAAGGGATAGTCAGTCATTCCACGGGCTGCTGCTTGATTTTTGATTCTTGATATATAAACATGAAATCAGGGCATAATAGACCCATGATGCATTAGAGGAAAGTACAACCTTGAGATGTGAAGTACAAGCACACCTCAGAGATTATTGGGGTTTTGGTTCTAGACCACCATGAGAAGGCAAATACCTCAATAGAGTGAGTCAAATGGGTTTTTTTGTTTCCCACTCATAAAAGTTATGTTTATGCCAAACTGAACTCTATTAAGTGCGTGATAGTGTTATGCCTAAAAAATAAATAAGTAAATAATGCTTTGCTAAAAAACACTGACCATGAGTTGGGCTGTTAGTGAGTCATAATTGCTGATGGAAGACCTTGCTGCTGACTGATCAAGGTGGTGTTTGCTGAAGGCTGTGACAACTTTTTAAAATACAGCAACAATGATGTTTGCTTCATCAATTGCTTCCTTGCATGAGTGGCTTTTTTGTAGCATGCAATGCAGTTTGATAGCATTTTTATCCATGGTAGAACTTCTTTCCAAATTGAAGTTAAACCTCTCAAACTCAGCTACTACTTTATCAACCAGGTTTATGTAATATGCCAAATCCTTTGTTGTCATTTCCACAATTGTTACAGCATCCTCACCAGCAGTAAATTCCATCTCAAGAAACCACTTTCTTTGTCCTTAACATATATCTCCTCATCCATTTTTCAAAAACCACAATATCTGTGAAGTGCAACAAAGCAAAGAGCAATAAAATGAGGTGTGTCTGTAAGCGGCAAGAACATCTTAAAGTTTGGGAATGGTTTCACTTCTCTTTAGCGATTCAGCAGAAACCAAGCTATGAAAGAGATTAGACCTAACTGTGAGCTTGTAGACAACATGCTTTACACATGTATAAAGTTGTAGGAGGAGCATGGGGAAATGATATTTCTGCATTGTGAGGTTAGAAGGAAATTGGAGAATCATCATGCCTACTCCGTGCCCTCAGGCCGGACTGCATGTAAATTTACTAAGTCATGCTAATTGTAGCCAGCACAAGGCCTGGTGGGTATAACTCCCACGGGAGGGGATTTCAAGTAACCTTCACAGTCGTATTTTTTCCTTTATCCATTCTAAATTTCCTTTTCTCTAATAATGGCTGCATAGTCTCGAAAAAGTAACAAGTATTTGAAAAGCTAGATCTAATCATTCATCAGACTTTTTACTTAAATAGCCCACATTTCTTAATCTTTTCTTCAAATCCTTGAAAATATTTTTTGATAACTGATGAATGATTAGTTTGTTGCTAGTTTCTAGAACTTGCTCATTTCATGACATCTCTCAAATTGTGAAGATAAGTGCCAGCGTAACTCAGGGCAGAAACATACACTTGTATAAAAGCCATGAGTGACCCCTTACCTCCCCAGAGAAAGGTTTTTTTTTGTTTTTGTAATTTCACCTTTAGGAGCAAGCATCTTGACAACTGAAAGCCATTATCAGCAATGGAGGTGACAGAGAAGCTGCCAGGAGCAGAGACAATAGACCCATTAAATGCATCAGGTTGGGACCAGTTATAAAAGGACCAAGTAGCGCCATGCATCTTCTTGGCTCCTAGGCAGTCAATGGGTTTAAAATACCTTAAAAATCAATAATTGATTTTCATAATGGTGCCCATGGGTCACTTAGAAAAGATGCTGTTCACAGAGGGCATGAGTATCATCCATTGAAAGAGTTGGATACGTGTTTCCTCTAGAATGCATTCCAATCAAAATTTATTCGAGTAAATTTAGCCTTGGCATAAAAGAGGCCAATTAGCTAGAAATTCTACTGATGTGTATTGTCAGACAAATCCAAGTCAAGAAATTTTTCTGTTAGCAACTCCCCAAAATAAGAAAAGTATGGAAAAAAGGAAAGGGACAAGTCCCCTTAGGCACTTAGCAATAGTTAAGGATATGAGCACTTATTTTGCATAGAAATTCATTTTGAACACTCAATTTGAAGTCACACAGAAATCTCTGGGTTAAAAATA